TGCTGCACGCCCAGGCCGCCATCGCTGCCCTGTAGCGGCGCTGGCACGAGGCCGCGCCCGGGTGGCGCCAGGTGGTGCGCCCGACCACCCGGCACAGCTCTCTGACTGGGCAAGCATCGCGACCTGGAGAGATGCGACGCTTTCCATTTTAAACACGGCTGGGCAAGCAGAGCCGGCAGCAGGGCACCTAGGCAGACGCACAGGGGCGAGGCAGGGCAGGCGTGGGGGCAGGCGCAGGGGGCCTGCGCCGGCGCCGCGCGCGCCTCACAGGAAGGTGCGCCCGCCGCCCTGGCCGCCCCCAAACTTGGACCCCAGCGCTCGCTCTCCCTTGAGCAGCTGCGCGGCGTTGGCCCTGGCGTCCAGCCCCGGCCCCAGGTCCTTCTCGCGGTCAAAGGGGCGCCAGGGGTGCTGGGTGGGGTCGTAGCCCAGCTCAGCCACGCCTGCGCCCTTGCCCTTGCCACCGCGCGCACCCTCCTTGCCGCCGCCCTTGCCGCCGCCCTCCCCCTCGCCCGTCCGCCGCTTCTTGCGCTTCTTGCCCTCCCCGGCCCCCGCCAGCCGCTCCGCATGAGCCTCCATCAGGCTCCTGCCGCGGCTGGCGGCGTTGAAGCGGTCGACGGCCGCCGCCATGCGCGCGGCCTGGGCCGGGTTGGCGGCGGCCACGCCCGCGTCGGCGCCCCCCGCGACGCCGCCGGCCAGCAGCAGCGGCCCGCCGCCGCCGCCCACGGCGCCGCCGCCGGCGCTGCCGTTCTCCAGCTGTGCGGCGCGCTGCTGCGGCGTCATGGTCCACCCGCTGGTGTCCCCGCGGCTCTTCACACCCTTGAGGGAGAAGCCGGAGAAGGGGCCCTGCATGCGAGCCGGAGGAGGGGCGCACGTGGCGGCAGGGCGGCAGGCCGGGGCGGCGGCCGGGCGAGGAGGAAGCGGGGCGGGCAGGTGGCGAGCTAGCCAGGTGGCCAGAGCCTAGAGCCTCCCCCGCATGCGCAGCAACGCACGCCTGCCAACCCAGGCCCCCTGTGCGCGAGCAGGCAGGCAGGCCAAGGAGGCAGGCGGGCAGGGCAGCAGGCCGCGCCGCCGCACGCCAGCCCACCGTGGGCATGGCCGCCGCCGCCGACCCCTGCTGCCGCTCGGGAGGCAGCTCCGTCATCCAGGTGTCCCGGGTGGGGCCCCCCGCCGCCGCCGGCCCCGCCAGGTCCTCTGCTGTGGCCTGCCCCCGCGCCACCCGCCACTGCCGCTGCCGCTCCGCCACCGCGGCCGCCGCCCGGAACTCCCGCCGCAGCTCCGCGTCCCGCCGCCGCGCATCCACCTTCTCTCGCAGCCCCGCATCCTGCGGGCAGGCAGCAAGGGGGGCGGGGAGGGGCAGGCACGCGCGGGCAGGCATCACTACGGCTGAGAGCAGAGCAGAGCGGCGGCAGCAGAGCCACCTCACCGCCACCGCACCTCGCCCGCCACCTGGCAGCCAGCCCGCCGGCAGCGCCGCCCGCGGTTGTCGCCCCACAATCGGCCCACACAGCGCCCCACGCAGCGCCCCACACAGCGCCCCCCGCCTGCCTGCAGCTCCTTGGCGGCGCCGGTGACTGCCTGGAAGGCGTCGTGTGCGCGCGGGTGGTCGCACTTGTCCGGGTGGATGAGCAGCGACAGGCGCCAGTAGCGCCGCTTCACCTCCCCTGCAACACACGCGCAGCGCGACCGTGCACGCACGCTCGCCAGGATGGGCGGCCTGGCTCCGCGGCCGGCGCATGCGCCGCACGCCGCTGCCGCGACCGATGGCGCGGCAAGGGGCGGCGTGCCCGTGCGGCCTGCCCTCTGCGTAGGCCCCCCCGCTGCCTGTCCAAGGTTGGGAGCCAGCCAGCCAGCCAGCCAGCCAGCCAGCCAGCCAGCTCAGCCAGCGCAGGCGGGGCCTCACCTGCGGGCAGCTCCGGCGCCACCCCCAGCACTTCGTACGCGTCTGGCGGCTGCTCCGCCGCCTCCGCCGCCGTGGACTTGGCGTGGTCCGCGGCGTGCTGCTGCAGCACGCGCAGCACACGCACCACCTCCGCGGTGCGCTCGTCCATGGAGGCTGCAGGGGGAGGGGGAGGGGCGAGGGGGTGGGGCAGGCGGGCAGGGACGGGGGACAGGGCAGGGCAGCGGGAGGACGGGAGGACGGGAGGGCGGGAGGAGGGGCAGGCGGTGGGACGGCCGGGGTGAGGCGGGTGGCGAGGGAGCACGAGGCAGGCAGGCAGCAGAGCGTTTTGCGAGGAAGCCCTTCCAGGCTCGCCCTTTGCCGCGCCGCGCCGCCGCCCTGCCCCGCCCCTCAGCACACACCGCCACACACCGCCACACACACCACACAACGTACACGCTCAGCCCAGCTCAGCCCACCCTCTCTCACCCAGGTCCAGCTCCTCTGCAATCTCGGGCGGCGGCGGCCCCACCAGGAACTCATCCTCCCCCTCCCCCTCCTCCACACCGCCGCCGCCGCCGCCGCCGCCCTCGGGCCCCTCCTCCTCGCTCAGAGGGTACTCCATCTGCGGTGCGTGTGGGGGAGGTGGGGAGGTGGGAGGGCACACAGGGCGAGCGCAGGAGCGGCGGCAGGCCATGAGCTCGCGGCGGCGCCTGCACGGCGGCGCCGAGGCTGCAGGCGGCGGCAGCGCCCTCGTGCCGCTGACAGGGTGGGCGGCTGGCGCTCATGCAGCACACAGACGCTGCACTGCTCACCTGCGCCGCAGCCGCCAGCCACTCCGCCGGCGGCATGGCGGGGCCGGCCACCCGCCTGCCCGCCGCCTCGCCGTCGCCCTCCCCCTCGCTCTCCTCCGCTCGCCCATCACCACCCGGCGCCGCTGCTGCTGGCAGCACGCCCGGCGGGGGCGCCGCTGGCCCGATGACATGCGCACCGCCCGCCTCCTCATCCTCATCGCTGTCTGAGACCAAGCCCTCCTGCTGCCGCTGCTGCCGCTGCTGCGAGGCTGGAGGCGGGCCTGCCGGCCCGATGGCTGGCCCCGCCGCCACCGCCTCCCGCTCCTCCTCCTGCTGCTGCGCTGCCGTGGCCAGCTGCTGGGCCGCCGCCGCCGCCTCGGCTGCCGCTGCCTCGACTTCTGCAGCCGCTGCCGTGGCTGCTTCTGCCGCCGCTGCCGCTGCCGCGTGCTGCTGCGAGGCCTGGCGGTAGGGCGCCAGCTGCTCCTGCGACTCCTCCAGCAGGGGCGCCACAAAGGACAGCACCGTGGCGGCCGCGCCCTGCCGCCTGAAGTACTGGCCCTGCGCCCATGGGAGCGGAGGCATGGCGTTTGAGTGGAGGGGTGTGTGTGGAGGGTTGCGGCGGCCGGGTGGCTGCCCCGACTGCTGCTGGCTGCCAACGGAAACGGCTGCTGGCTCACAGACCCACCCCCTGCTCCTCCTGGCCACCGCAACAAAGGCTGCCCGCGGGCCCGGGCTCTTAAGCCGCCGGCCAGCCCTGTGCACCCACCGCCGAGTTCTTGCGCAGCTGCACCAGGTTGTCAAACAGCATGAGCAGGCGGCTGCGCAGGAAGTCGTCGGGGATGCCGCTCACATCCAGCGCGTCGCCGTTGTCCAGCTGGCGCACCAGCTGCAGGCAGGGCAGCGGCGGCGAGGGTGCGGGTCGGCGCGGCGGCGGTGAGCGCGCGGCGGCGGCGGCGGCAGGCCCCACACCTCTCGCAGCTCCTTGCGCAGGGCGTGGTTGTAGGCCAGGATCTCCCGCACAGCCCTTGCCGCCGCCCTGCCCATCTGCAGCTGCTTGTTGACGGTGAGGCGCTCGCCATCACTGCCGCTGGTGCCGCTGGAATCGGAGGAGCTGCTGGACCGGTGTCGGTGCTCGCCCTTCTTCTCCTTTTTGCTGCGCTTCTTGCCTTTTTTGCCGGCCTTGTCCTTCTTGTGCTTGCTGCTCTTCTCCTTCTTGCTGTTCTTCCCCATCTTGTGTTTCAGCTTCTGTGGATTGTGCCCGCGCTGCGTTGAGCTGAATTGAGGTGCAGGAGAGCGCTCCTCCCGTACGAAAGCATGCATCGCAGGTGTTGTGCCCCTGCCTCCCGCAATGCATGCATGCATGCCACTGCATCAAGGTTGTCCAGCAATAAAGTGGTCCAGAGCTCTCAGGCTCAAGCCGACATGGCCAAGAAGAGCAAGGCACCCAAGGTGGCGGTCACCGGCCCTGATGGGAAGGTGAGCAGCGTGTGAGACACAGCAGGGGTGGAGCTGCGCACTGGCAGGCGCACACTGCCGCCATGCAAGCATGCCGAGATTCGCGAAGGGCTGCTGTGGCGCTCTTGTTTGGGGCAGCGAGCGCAGGAGGCTTGCTGGCCTATGCGCGGGTTCACAAGCGGGTGCCCGTTCTGCTCAGCCGCCTGCCGTCCGAGCCCATGCACGCCTGAACCCGGCACCGCCTCCTCGCGCCCCCGCAGGTGAGGGAGATCTCCCAGAAGGGCATGCGCATCCTGAAGCGCAAGGCCGAGAAGAGGGCGCGCAAGGAGGCCAAGAAGGCGGCCATGGAGGCCAAGAAGGCGCGCAAGGCTGCCATTGCCAACGGCACCGCGCCGCCCACGCCCCCCGAGGCCGCCCCCGCCAAGCCGGCCAAGGTGCTGGACGAGGCGGCGCTGGAGAAGCGGCGGGAGAAGCGGCAGCGCAAGAAGGAGCGCCAGCAGCGGCGCAAGCTGGAGCGCGAGCAGAAGGAGGCGGAGATGAGGGTAGGGCGGCCGGGCGGCGGCGGCGGCAGGCTGCTGGCGGCATCGCTCGCGCCGTGCACCTGCTCCCAGCGGGGCGCGGGGCCGCGTGGGGCCTCCAGTGTCGTGCCGCAGCAAGTCCGGCAGCACTGCAGCCGGCAGCTCGTGCTGAGGTGCTGCGCTGCTGCCGTGCCGCCCCGCGCCCCCGCGCCCCCTGCAGGCCAAGCGCCCTCCCAAGAACAAGGACAAGTACAACAAGGAGAAGCGCAAGGAGATGAACGAGAGGAGGAAGGCGCTCAAGGCAGCGGTGCGCGGTGGCCGGGGCGGCGGCGCGCCGGGCGTGGCACCGGCTGCACCGGCTGCATGCGTAGGGGCTTTGCAGTGTGGCGCAGGCAAGCAGGAGGTTGGCTCCTCTGACGCGCGTGGCCCGTGCAGCTGACCCGGCCCCGCCCACACTGCTGCGCTGCAGGGCATGTGGATCCACAGCAAGACGGCAGTCCCCCCGCCGCTGCCCGCCAGCAGCCCCGCGGCGCCTCCCAGCGGCAAGAAGGGCAAAAACAAGCGCAAGCGGCAGGAGGAGGAGGAGGGCAAGGCTGCAGCGGAGGCGCCTGCGGGGGCGGCAGTGGCATCGCCCGAGGAGCAGCAGCCTGCGGCGCAGAACGGCAAGAAGAGCAAGAAGGAGAAGAAGGGGAAGAACAAGGGCCAGCAGCAGGCGGAGGCTGCGGCGCCGCCTGCGCAGCAGCAGGAGGAGGCCGCGGCTCCGGAGGAGGCCGCGGCTCCGGCAGCGGAGCAGCAGCCTGCACCCGAGAGCGGCAAGAAGGAGAAGAAGGGGAAGAAGAAGGGCCAGCAGCAGATGGAGGCTGCGGCCACGGCTGAGCAGCAGCAGGAGGAGGCCGCAGCTCCAGCAGCGGAGCAGCCTGCACCCGAGAGCGGCAAGAAGGACAAGAAGGGGAAGAAGAAGGGCCAGCAGCAGGCGGAAGCTGCGGCGCCGGCTGAGGAGCAGCAGGCGGAGGCGGCGGCGCCGGCTGCGGAGCAGGAGACTCTGCCGGAGAGCGGCAAGAAGAAGAAGAAGGAGAAGAAGAAGAAGGGACAGCAGCAGGAGGCAGACGCCACTGGCGAGGAGGCCGCCGCGGATCCGCCAGCGGCGGCGGCCGCCGAGGGCGACGACGAGCAGCCAGCGCAGCAGAACGGCGGCGGCCCCGCAAGCGGCGGCAAGCCGGGCACCGCTGCGCGCGCCTTCCAGCGCGTGAATGCCGAGGAGTGGCTGGACAAGAAGGGGGCATGGGACAACAGCTACGAGGGCACGTTTGGGCAGGATGGGTGGGGCTGGAAGGCGCAGGAGGTGCTGGGCAAGGTGCGCGGCAAGGACTTCCGCCACGAGAAGACCAAGAAGAAGCGGGGCAGCTACAAGGGCGGCGAGATCAACCCCAACGCCACCTGCTCCTACAAGTTCGACAACTCAGGTGGGTTGCAGGGGGCTGGAGCAGGGCTGGGGGCGTGAGCGGCGCCCGCTGCTGGAGCGACTCGGGGCGCAGGCTGTGACCCGTGCTGCGGTGCTGTGCCCATCCCTGCTGCAGACGACGAGTGAGCCCAGCAGGCCAGCCCAATCAGCGATATAGAACTAGGCAGCACAGGATGCAACAGGCCCGCATCACATGCGCCCGGCAAATGGCGGCGGCGATCCTGGTGGCGGCGCAGGCTGGAAAGCGCTCATTTGACTCGGTCAGCCCAGATTTCTTGTAATTCAGCACTCGATTTCCGTGCCTGTTCCGTCAGGTGTAGCCGTGAACGAAGTGGAGGCCGCGATGTGCTCGGTCAGAATGCTGCTGCTCGCTCTGGCAGCCGGTCTGCTCTGTGCTGCAGTTTCCGTCGACTCCGCGACGGCCGGCTTCTTTGAGGCCGGTCGGGACGGCACTGGCAGCTGCGGGTACTCCGCCTCGAGCCTCAGCAACTGGGCTGACGGCACGGTTGCGCTCTCCCCAAACTCCTCTATCGCCCTTCAGGTACGTGTTTTGATCCGAGTATTCTGGGAGGGTGCGCGGATGGAGCGTGTTGTGCCCGCCCGCCACCGCCTACTGCCGCCGCTGACGCCCGCCCGCAGACCTCCCCCTTGGCCGGATGTGGCGCCTGCCTGCTCGTGACGGCTGAGTGTGGCGTTGGAGACGCCGCCGCCACCTGCCTGGCAGCCAACATAACTGCGGTGGTGGTTGACACCTGCGCCACCTGCGCCGCCGACGCCATCAGCCTGGACTCTTCGTCCTTCCAGCTGCTCGGCGGCCGCCTGGCGGTCGGCTCCCTGCCCGTCACCTTCTCCCCCGTGGACTGCCACCCCGCCTCCAACATCTCCATCCACTTGACTGACTACCGTGTGGCGGCAGGGGGGTGGATGCGCCTGGCCCTCGTCGACGTCGCCGGCGGCGGCGGGATCGCAAGCGTGGAGCTGCGCCAGACACCACTGGCGGTGAGTGGGAGCGTGATGGGTGAGGGCCGGCCCTTGCGCCATCACCCACACCAGCATGCATGCACCCTCAGCCGTCTGCAGCACCCACACAGCCACCTGCGTGCCCTGCTACCCCGCTGCAGGCTGGCCGCCTGGACCTGGTGGCCTCCGCCTGGCGCCGCATGCACAACATGCACGGCGCCTCCTGGGAGCTCAGCGGCCTCCCCGCCCCGCCGCTGGACCTGCGCATCACCGACAACACCAACCGCCAGCTCCTGGCCAGGTGGGTGCTCGCCCAGGTGCCGGCTCACGCCTCTGACACTGCTGGGTGCTGCACCTCCTTACCAACCACCACGTGCCTGCTGGCCTCCCCCGTGTGTGCTCGCCCCTGCAGGGAGGCAATCACCGAGGCGGGCAAGCTGGGCCGGTTTGCCACCGCGGTGCAGTTCCCCCTCAGCTCCTCGCCCCAGAGCATCGCAGCCGCCACCGCCGCGGCGCTGGCGCTGCCGGAGGCCGCCGCCGAGCTGGTGCCTGGCGAGGGAGCGGGGCTGGCTGGCACCAGCATGCCAGATGGGGCGGCGGACTCCAGCCTGCTACCCAGCGCCGAGCCTCGGGCGCTGGTGGCAAAGGAGGCGCCGGCGGCAGAGGAGGTGCAGGGTGGCGAGGAAGCGCAGCCGCTGGATGGCAACCTGGGCGATTCGGAGGGCGCCGGCTGCAATGCCACCACGCTGCTGGGCGTGCTGGAGGGCAGCCGCGCCTTCACCATCTTCCTGTCGCTGGTCCGCACGGCAGGTACCCCCTACGGGCGGGACTGGTGGGGGGGCAGGCGAGGCCGCCGTCGCGGGCTGCCGCCAGGTGTTGAGGGCACCCTCCTGCTGCCTGCAGGGCTGGAGGAGGCGCTCGCCGACCCCGCCACCTCCCTCACCCTCTTTGCTCCCACCAACTCGGCATGGTGGGTTCCCCCCGCCACATCACGCCACACTTCGCAGTGCCCCCGCCCTTGTCCCACCCCCTTCTGCCGGCCACCCCTTGCCCCGCCTGTGCAGGCTGACCGCCGTTCGCAGCTGGCCGCTGCTGAAGTACGACCAGGACGCGCTGCGCAATGTACTGCTGCAGCACGTCATCATGGGCCGCCACACCGCAAACAGCTTCCACGCCCAGCTGGTGAGCAGGCAGCGGGGCGCGGCGGGGCCGCAGGGCAGGCACCCGCCGCATGCAGGACTCTGCACGCCACGGCCAGGCGCGAGGTTGAGGGTGCCTCCTGGGCTTCCGCCGCGCCCGCGCGCCGTGCTGCAGGAGCGGTACGACACCCTGGCGGGCGGTTTCCTGTCCATCAAGGCCGCCGGCAGCCGCCTGATGATAGTCAGCCAGGCCAGCGCGGGCGCCACGGTGCGGAAGGACATCGGGGCGGAGCCGGGGTGCGGCGGCGGCGGCGGCGGCGCGGGGGTGGCGCACGCCGTGTCCAGCGTGCTCATGCCCACGCTGGGCAGGAGGCGGCTGCGCTGAACCCCGGCTCATCCACTTGCTTTACTTCACTCCTCCAATTATGCTTCAGTTTTGCTGCAATCTTCTTTTATTCCCGCCTAATGGTATGGTGATGGGACTTTACACACAGCCTATTCTTGCACTACAAAGCAGACAGCACCCCTCGGCAGCGCCTATGTTCAGCACAGCGTTCAAAGCTAGAGCAGCCAGCTAGGTGTGAAAATGTAAGCATGAAAAACAGGGAAAAACAAACAACGCAACGAGGAGCTGTCGGGCGACAGGCGTCAGCCGGCGACAGGCCGGGCGCCGGGCAGGCCTCGCTGTGCATGAGAGGCGTGAGAAGGGTGAGCAGCGGGCATCAATGTGGCACGTGCTGCAAGCTGGGCCAGGCCTGGGCCTGGCCTCAGGCCTGCTGCTGCTGCTGCGGCCCCACCAGCAGGCGGCGGATGACGGAAGACATGCGGCGCAGGAGGCGGCGGGGCGGGCCCTCGCCGCCGCCGCCGCTGGGCCTGCCCACCGCCGACTCGCGCCCCGCCGCCGCCACCTGCGAGGCGATGACCGACTCCCGGGCCGCCGGGTTTTCGATCCAGCGCGGCGGCTCGGGCCGGCGCCCGCGCCTCGCCATCTGCGCCTGCGCCCCCGCCGACACCGCCGCCGCCAGCTGGCTGGGGTCTAGCGTCTGCAGCAGGCCGGCGGCCAGGTGCAGCTGCTGCAGCTGCTGCCGCAGGTGGTCCGTCTCAAAGGCCGCCAGCGCATCCTGGCCGGCGTCGTCGTAGAGTGCGGCGGGGGGCAGGGCGTCGGGCAGCACCGGCACCGCGGGCTGGAAAGCGCGCTTGGGCGACGACATGGCGCCCAGCGTCGGCGGGTGGTCCAGCGGCGCGATGCCGGCGCCGCGGTAGGCCGGCGGCGGCCTCGCCTCCGCCGCCGCCGCCGGCTGCGGGGACGCCCAGGGATCGACAGCCTCAAAGCCGGCGCCGCGGTAGGCTGGCGTGGGCCGCGGCTCCGCCGCAACTGCCGGCGGAGGGTTGAAGTAGGCTGGCGGGTAGGCGGGCGCCAGCCTGGGCGCGGCGACGCGGGGAGGGCTGGCGCCGGGCAGGGGCCTGCTGCCGGTGCTGGCGGCCAGGCTCTCTCGCGGGCTACCATAGTGAGACTGGCCGTCGGGGGTGGACAGGCGGGACTCAGGCACGCGGACGGGCGCGTCCTGCGGCGGAAGCTGCGGGTACAGGCGCCCCCGCTCGGCGCCGCCCGGCAGGCTGGCGCCCTCGCCCGCCGCTCCCTGGGGGGCGTCTGCTGCTCCCCATGAGAAGGATGGGTTGGTAGTGGAGGTGAAGGAGGGGCCGGTGGGGGTGTAATAGCGGGAGTCGTGCCCAGTTGGCGCCAGCTGGGGGGGCGAGCTGGCGGCCGTGGCGGCCAGCTGCCCTGCCTGCTGCCCCGCCGGCGCCTCTGCCAGGCCCTGCGCCTGCCCCTGAGGCTGCTCCGCCAGCGCCGCTGCCGCGGGAGCAGCGGGGGGCAGCGCCTGGCCCTGCGCCTGCGCCTGCGCCTGCGTCAGCAGCTGCTGCAGCTGGGGCCAGATCTCGCGGCGGAAGTCCTGCACCCAGCCCTGCCCATCCTGCAGCGCCGCCAGCTCCTGGCGCAGCAGCAGCTCCTGCTGGCGCAGCTCCCGGGCCAGGGCGGCCAGCGCCTCCTCGTCCACAGCGCCGCCCGCCTGCACTCCAAAGTCCTCCCCCTCCGCCTCCCCCTGCTGCTGCTCCTGCTGCTGCTGCTGCTGGTGTTGGTGGTGGCATTGTTGGTCCTGGGGCGTGCCAGGCCGGCCAGGCCGCGCCAGCTGGCCGCCCACCGCCGACTGGCCGCGCGGCACGCCCGCCAGCACGGCCGCAGCAGCCGCCGCCGCAGCAGCCTCGTAGTCTGCCACGCTGCGGTTGCGGTGTAGGCCCGCGGCGGCGCCGCTGGCCCGCACCTCGCCCGCGGGCCCCGCCGCCCCAGCCACGACCGCGCCGCCGTCTGCACCCTGAGGGTTGTGGGAGGGTGAGGGGTACAGGGCCGCCGCCGCCGCCATGGCAGCCTGCAGCTCGGCGGCGCCTGGCTGGCTGGCGGTGTCGCCGCCGTATGGGCCCGCGCCTGGGTCAAAGGCCGCGCTGCCGGGATAGGCCTGCTGCCCCTGCCCCTCCGCCGCCCAGGGATCGGGCTGCTGCCCCTGCCCTTCCGCCGCCATCGCCGCCTGCAGCTGCATCTCTGCGGCTGCCAGTGCCGCCTCGTACTGTGCTGCGGTGGGTGGGGCGGCGGGGTCAAATGCGAGGCCGTGGAGGGGCAGCTGCCCTGCCGCCACCGCCGCCTGCAGCTCGGCCGCAGCAGCCGCCATCTCGCCCTCTGTGTACACGTGCACGGCTGCCGGCGCCGCCGCGTTGCCATCCTTGTCCTTGCCGCCAGCAGCAGCCAGCAGGGGCTGCCCCAGCTGCCCGCCGGGCGTGGCCTGCTCCTCGGTACCGGTACCGCCGCCGCCGCCCTCGCCGTCGCTGTACTGCATCGTGAGGCGGCCGGGGCGAAGCTGCCCCACCGGTCCCGCCGCCAGCTTGGTGGTCAGCTCTGACAGGCGGTCGCAGGGCACGACTCGGTCCGCAGACTGGCGCCGCCGCTGCCTGCGCCGCCACAGCAGGCGGCCCGCGACGGCTGCGGCGGGGCGGGGCGGGCACGGGGCGGGGGCAGCAGGCGGGCTCAGCTGGGCTCGTGTGGCGGCGGCGCGCGTGCGGCTGGGGCAGGCGGCGGAAGGGCAGCGCCGGCGCGACGCTGTTTGGCGCGGCATGGCATAAGCAAGCAGGGCCGCCGCGGCGCAGCACGCGCCCCACACCCGCCCCCATGCCGGCGCCTCACCAGTCAGCAGCAGCGTCGCGCCTCCCGCAGCCCCAGCCACGATAGCCACCAGGGGAGGCTTGCCGCCGGGCGGCGGCGGCGGCGGCGCGGCCGGCGGCGCG